GCGTAGTGTATCACAAAACCAAGAACCCATTCGGAGCGAAAATTTGTATGAATATTAGTTTTCAGCTACTTTTATACATCATTAAAGAAAAATCTCAGTAAGATCAATAGTTTTGTAGTTTGAATTTTAGTGACGTCATGTGAAAACCAGGTATACTCAACCCATTCGTGATCGACTTTTTGAGACTATCTGTGCAATCACACTCAATCTCTTTCAGAAAATATCCGTTTTCAACATTAAAAAAAGATCAAAGATAAAGCAGAGCACATCAGCAGTCCATCAATATTGATACAGCCTGCAAAAACAATCAGGCTCCGTTTTGCTTGCTGTTAAATTCAATGCCTCTAGCTGGGCGTGAACATACGTCTCCTTTCGCGGGGTCGTGGGCCGGGGGGACACTCCCGTGTAAAAATGACGGTGGTGCTTGTTGTACCTTTTAGGGGTTAAAAAAGCGGTTTTGGTACATCTTAGGGTGTTCAGCCTCAAAAGATCCACAGCTGGAGCTTTTACGGTACCTTTTAAGGTATTGAGCCGAAAATATATGACAGCCGATAACGTGTTATGTAAGTATTGGTACTTCTTAGGGGAGAAACAATTTCAACTCACGTCCACAAAACAGGATCTTGCTACCTCTTAGGGGCTCTTTCCAAAATTTCGAACGAGCACCCCCGTCTTTTTTATTTAGGAGTCCCAACCCCGGGGTCGAGGTCATTTGATTTATCTATTAAATCGGAAACGATAATGACTAATTATTTGCTAGGTCTTCAGCACAGTGCTTCAAGAGAAAAGCGAAACATATCACCGAGACATAACTTAACCTCGACAGCCTCTGAAGTACAAGTGCTGATCAAAGAAGAACTTGGTCTGCTGCAAAGCCAAGTCTGTGCTAAAGATCACACGCTCTGCCGCGCAGGACCAAAAGGGAACACGGGAAGACGAGGAAGACCGGGTACCCGAGGGAGACCAGGTCCCCCAGGGAGACCCGGCTCAGAAGGACCTCCTGGTAAACATGGACCAATAGGAAGTCAAGGACCGATGGGTATAAAGGGAGATGGTGGAATTCCGGGAGACCCCGGTCCCGTGGGACCTAGAGGTCCGCTGGGTATGAAAGGCGACAAAGGTGACCCGGGCCAGTCCATCTCGGCTCCCTCTCTGTTGCAGGGTCCTGTTGGAATGACAGTCAACGAAAGTCAGACAGCCATCTTGAAATGCACAGCAGATGGTAATCCAAGACCAAAAGTCACGTGGTCTATGCTGAATTCATCGCTTCCTGTAGGTCGTCACGTGGTAGAGTCCAGTGGCGCTCTGATTGTGAAGGACGTTAGACCTGGAGACGATGGAATTTATAGCTGCAGAGCGGAGAATTTGCTGGGACAAGTAAATGATTCGGCAAAGTTAACTGTTCAGTGTAAGTTTTTTTACTATTATGCGTGAGAGTGATTCTCTGAGTATGTTAAAATGGCATCTCGGTTTACTTGCATTAAGTATCAGTAGAAACGATATATGAAAGTGAACTGAAGAAGTTTAGAAATTGACCTCTGACTTGAATAAGAAAACGTACCCTTGATTCAGAAAACCTTGAATAGAAAAAAACGTTTCCTTATCTAATAGCCTTTTCCAAGCGTTCAGTTAGGCTATTTATCTAATTGCAGAAGGCATGATAAGTCCTCAGGATCATTTATTTCTTTTAACGACTTTTTTACATCACCTTAGAACAACGTTCAGTTGCCTCATGCGTGAAAAATTTAATTCAGCCGTTCCCTATGAAGATATCTCAAGGAAGCAAAGTAGTTGGACCTTCAACCTCCATCGCCGTTTCTCGGCATCTGTTGCTTTGACAGCTCATTAAACGCAGATTGCCCGAAATCTTATTCACAGTAACTCTGTGGCAGAGAGTCTCCATGAACTGGAACCAAGCATTGTTATAATATATTTTCTTTACAGTCTCCCCGCAGATCAGTTTGTCATCCAGTGAAAGACTGGCTGAGGAGGAGCAAAATGTCTCTATCACCTGCACTGCTACCGGTCGGCCGAAACCAAGTATCACGTGGTCCAGAGCAGTTGGTAGTTTGCCTGAAGACAAATCTGAAGTGATAAACGGGTCCTTGACAATCTACAGTCTGACAAAGAGGGACAGGGGAACATATATTTGTAAGGCAGAGAATATTCTGGGATCAGAATCGGACACTTCTCAGCTCATTATATTTTCTCGTTTGCGGTTCAACGTTCTTCCCCCCAAGGATCTGACACCTGTGATTGGTTACAGCGTTCATCTGCCGTGTGTGGCCGAGAGTGACCTGAAAACGACAATCGCTTGGACAAAGGATGGCAAGTCTTCACTTCCTGTGGAGTCCAATGTTCTACTGAATGGAACACTGTTCATTGAGAACATCAAGAAATCGCACAAAGGAACTTACACCTGTAGAGCAACAAATGCTCTTAGAGCAATAGAAGCTAAAGTCAAAATCAATTCTCCAATTATTGCGACTTCTTGTTCTGTGATAACAAAATACGTCAGCAGTGTAAGCGGTAATTTCGCCATTGATCCAGATGGCTCTGGAGGCCTGGCACCATTCATTGTTTACTGCGATATGAATGACAAAAATGGAGTTGGCGTGACAGTGATCAGTCACGACAGTGAAAGCAGAACATTGGTGGATGGATATAAATCTTCTGGCAGTTATTCACGTGACATTCATTACACAGGAGCGAGTCTTTCTCAGCTAGCGAGTCTCACCAGAGTCTCATCACACTGTGAGCAGTTTATTAAGTACGAGTGTTGGGATTCAGGACTTCTCAGGGACGGAATGGGATGGTGGGTGTCACGTGATTCTAGTAAGATGACTTACTGGGGTGGAGCATCTCCTGGTAGTGGTAAGTGCTCATGCGGGATGATCAGCTCATGTGCGTACCCTAGATATGGTTGTAACTGTGATAAGAATGACGGTGTATGGCGTGAAGACAGTGGTCTTCTCGCTGACAAGACACATCTTCCAGTTAAACAGCTCAGGTTTGGAGATACAGGATATTCGTCAAGCGATAAAGGCTATCACACTTTAGGAAAATTCAAGTGTTATGGCACGGCCTGATAAATGGTGGACGTTTCTGAACTGCCCCTTAGTGGGTTATGCTAAAAAGTAAAGATAGAGCAGTTTAGAGTGCCTCCATAAGTTTAAGATGAGCTTAACAAGTACATCTGTTGCTATAATAGTAGCAAAAACCACAAATGCTGCCAGGAGGAAAATCAGCGCAATGAGCAAAAGATTAGCTAATCTATGGTGTAACGCTTTACGTACTCTGTTGTTTTCGGTTACTTTTTTCGTAGTTTTAAGAATGATCCGGAGTCCAATTTTAGCGAAAGTTACAAACGTCGGAGAAACAAGGCAGAAGTATGAACTCAATGTGAATCTTCGAGACACTCAGGACTGAACCTGAAATTTACCTCTCGTAGTTGCTAAGCAAATGATTGCGTCATAATGACATAACAGGGAGTTTAAGTAACCACGAAGACGACGCCTAGGACAACGTCGATTAAAAAAATGGTTATATATTTTACCAACGAATCTCGCGGTATACTCGAAAGCCATTGACTTTGTTTACTATGACCATGCACTGTCAAAACTATCACGAAACTGAATTTAGGACACAGCGATAAAACTGAAATAAAATTTAAGAAATAGCCGTCGTGGTTCACGCTCTCCAGACAACGCAGAATTTTGTCATTTCACGTTGTAGTTTTGCAGAGGATCGGACGGTAAAGAAATTTACTAAGAATTAAAAAGCAGGTGCACAACCATTGTTTTGCTCAATAAACCTTTTGTTTAGCGACCTTCCCGTTGCCGTTGCCGTCGTGGTTTTCTTAAACTCCTTATTGACAACTTTCGGATTACTCTCGAGTGCTGGATCTCTCCTTTGATTAGATGAACTTTAAAAGCGCCACATCAAAGTGGTTCTTTGCATAACAATTGGATTTCTTGCAACTTCGGTCCAGGTCCTTAGTTCCAAGGGTACCGACTTATTACCCTTGTTCCCAGCTAGTGGGCTGTGAAATTATATTTACAAAACAAAACCTTGACCGAAAAAGCGACAAATTAGCCTTAATGAGAGTCTGGAGGGAGTTAAGAGCCACCTTAAAGTTTTCGAAAATTAAAGGTAGCTCTGAAGTCTAAACTCCATCTACAAAGTTTTTACAAAGTTTGCAAAAAGTTGTATCTCAACATCCTGATCAGAAATTGATAGTAAACAATAGGAGTCACCGAGCTTATGGGTGTTCTACATCCTCTCTTGTCTGGATACAAACGTTCGTACTTGATAACCTAACATCTCTACCTTATTCCATATTCTAAAGAGGTGGCTGACCGTTGCATTTCATCAAATACGTTTAATTTACCGTCTTCGGCCTTTTCTTGGACTTTTGAACATTTTGTTCAATAACATAACCGCTCCCTTTTCCCCGACAAGTAGGTCCCTTATTTGCCATGTGTCCAAGTGACCAAAGTCACGTGGACAAGTTGAAAGTGAGGAAAGTGTCGAAAATACGACACCCGATTCTCGCATGTGGTTTCGTATGAATTTTACGAGTGTTGTATTTTCCAGTAAAACACTCGTTTTATATAATAATATTATGTATGTTATGATCCATGTCTCACTGTCATGGGCCGGTCAGCTCAGAGCATAGAGCCAGGTCGAATTAATTCGTAATGATACCGAAAGTGTAACGCTTGTATTTTGTTTTCTTAACATTCTATTAAAAGCGTGGCACACAGTATGAGCGTCACTTTACTAAAAAACGTGTGTTAATGGAGCAAGTGAACGAATCACTCGGAACTGACTGGTTTTCTATTCCTCTGGTATCAGTATCATTTCTATCCGTTCTAACCTGTGTGACAATCTGTTTTGATAACGAGCCGTCGATACTGAAGTCCTAAAAAAGCTAAATTCAACCCTAACAGCAGGAAATTAATCAAAAGATCACAATGACACGATTAAAAACCATCATATGATGCGCAAACAGGTATTAATCATAAGAATATTTTAAAAATTCGTCAATTAAAATTGTCATCAAGGGTCGAATGGGGCCAGCCAGCAGTCGAGTCTGACCGTATTCCTAAATAACCCGGCGGAAAGTGAAAAGCCCTCCTGTCTATTTGATCTAGCGTTAAGCTTACATTTAAACTTGTTTGGTTTAGCAGTAGATTTCTCCACGCTTTAAATTAAAGCAAGTGACGGAGCCAAGCCATAAGGGCTTTTTGATTCCATACTTAGGATGGTCCACATCAAGCGTTATGGATGGAAGTATGGATGGACGGACGGACGGACGGTCGGACGGATGAATGGATGGATGGATGAAACCCTTGGTTTAAATACGGCATTTTATCAAATTAAAATATACAACAATATCAAAATTTGGTTTGTATAAAATCCGTACAGAAAATACTACAAACAATGTAAGTTACTTATTTACTATCAAAAGCTTAATGTTCTCGTTTCAGAGATTAAAAAAAGGTCTGATTTTGGAAAACAAGTCTGATTTTGAAAAATTGGCGCGCGTAAATCAGCGTGGTCTCCAGGAGTTTTAGCTTAAAATATCAAAGATGAATCAAAGGAGACAAAATATCCTAGTAATATTTTGTATAAGTGAATCAGTTGCGTTGATAATTCCAAATGTTGCCAACGTTTTCACAAAACTTAACCCTTCAAGAGGCATTTGAAACCGCCGCACAGATAAACGAAGAACTAAAAAGAACGGAATTCGATGGTGCATTTTGCAAAAAAAATTCAAACTTCTAATCGATAGATTTTCTTTATTTTCTCGCTAAACGTAGAAAATCGGTAGAGAAAATGATCCATCAAAAGAAAAATAGGAATCACCGAACGTCCATGTTCATTAAATCCAGGCAAAAGCTATAGCAATGGCCATCTACCCTATAATTGTTCATTTTATTACTTCAGTAGCGCGCGCTCGATACATGACGTGGCGTGTGAATTTGCGTGCGCAGTAACGATAGGCAGAAACAATCCTCCATAGGAAAAGAGATGGCGACTGGTACATTTACCCATAACTCTTAGCGCACAAAAACCTTAACAATGTTCATAGAAAAGTACCGAAACGTTACTAAACCTAGGTTACTCAATGTCCTTAGCACAGGGGGAAAATATTGTAAAAATTCGGCTTTCTTTGTGCCTTATAGGCTGCTTTAGGTTCGCAAGGCATCGTGGTAAAATGTACAGCCGCCATCTTTTTTCATACGGTGGATTAGCGCGAACGTCCTTAAGATATGGCTCCCTATAGTTTTACGATCGCACGCGCACTGAGGACGAAAGCTCAACTAATCTGCACGCGCTCGAAGGAAAACGTCAGTGTTCTTCGATATTTTATAATAAAGTTTCCATATAACCCGCGCTCTGATTGGCTGAAACAGCGTGCTTTATCAGAGAACAGAGCACGGGTTGATGACGGTAAGTTGGCTTTCAAATTTTTGCTTTGGAAT